GGAAGGAGAGGAAGGAGAGGAAGGAGAGGAAGGAGAGGAAGGAGAGGAAGGAAAGAAAGAAAAGAAACAAACAAAACATGGCACTAAATAACTAAAGATATTATAAATCTATGTAGTCAATAAAATTCTGATAATACAAACAATGTCAGAGCACACAGTGGCCCCTACACTTTTCAGATTGTATAGACTAACAGATAGTTAGTGCAAATTACTAAGCCATAAAGAATTATGATTGTCTACAGCTAAATTTCACATATTAGCATCTGTGGGACACTTGAAAATAGTCCACGGGTTCACAATTGCAGTACATATTGTTTGAAAATTAAATTACATAATTTGCATTTGAACTATTAACATAAAAAAAGGAAAGAAAAAAGGAGATTCTATATCTGCCCACTCAGAAATGCTACAATCCTCAGAAGAGATGCTATCATATTCTTCTACTGAACGTATGGCCTTTTCACTCAGAAAACACAAAACTGTAATTTTTAGGAGAAAGTCACAAAAAAGGGAGACTGTCAGGTGTATCACCAAAATGTGTTAAAAAAAATGAGTCTATAAATCATAAAAGTTGCTGGTTCTGTCATTTTAAAGGCTTTTAGGCTCAATTAGTGTCTAAACTAAACTGCTTGTTGTTTATCATTTTATTTAACAGTAGCATTTATTTCTCTTTGAAAGAGACTAGCAACAAGAGGTGAAAACCAGTTACACAAAAGTACAAGCCTATATTTTGTATAAGATAGAGGTACATGAGATACCATTTAATTAATTAATTAATTAATTAATGTTTTTGAGACAGAGTCTCACTTTGTCACTCAGGCTGGAGTGCAGTGGTGCGATCTTGGCTCACTGCAGCCTCCACCACCTGGGCTCAAGAGCGATCCTCACGCCTCAGCCCTCCAAGCAGCTGGGACTACAGGAACGCACCAGCATGCCTGGCTAATTTTTTGGATTTTTTTGTAAAGACAGGATTTCGACATGTGGCATAGGATTCTCTCCTGAGCTCAAGTGATCTGCCCACCTCAGCCTCCCAAAGCGCTAGGATTACAGGTGTGAGCCACTGTGCCCAGCCTAAGAGACCATAAATTTAAAACTGCACTTTTAAGAAAGAAATCACGTGCAGGTATGGAGACAAAAATAAAATCTTTCGAAGTGTCCAGACAAAAAACAAACAAACAAAAAAAAAGAAAAAAGAAATCACAAAAAGTGTAATAAGAAGGGGCAATGCCAAATACAGGCACTGACATTTACAATGACTTTAAGTTTTGATTTAACATACAATATCAAATGTTAAAAACGCACAGGTTTCTAAAATCACATACATCTATCAGTTTTAATAGCAACGTTTTCATAGAAATTTAATAAAATATATTCTGTGCTACTATAAGTTTAGGTAAGTCAGTTACACAGTTCCTGTTTCTACCTAAGGTGAACCATCACTTATGCACTGGGCCCTGTACCCCCTTAACTACCAAGTCCACTGCTTCTCCAGTTAGAGTTATTTCTTACATCATAATTTTTTTTCTATTGAATTATTCCCATCAGTAGGAAATATGTTGTAATTTCTACAATTTTTAAAGACATTGACAGAGTTAGAAAATTACTCTTTTGCAAACCTAATGACAAAATTAAGTTTGATAAAGATCATAAATGGATAAAATCATCAGATGAAAGGTTAATATAAAATTATCAACAAAAACATCAGGTATTGCCAACTGACTTCAATGATCAACATTAGCATGATGAGTATGAAAACCAAACATTATATGCTTCTTGATGTGATGTAATAAAAAGCACACAGAACCAATTATGATGTACTCAAAAGTAGTTGAACCTAAATCTAATCAAACAGCACTACAGATTAATACTGAAAACAGAAAAATAAATGATACCATAACGAAGCAAAGACACAAAAACAGTTTACAATACAACTGATGCAGCTTCGTCAATAAAGAAGAGATTACTCTCCGGACAAAAGAAGACTTAAAATGTACTACGACTTCATGTAAATCAGAATTTGGTTGGGTCCAAAATTAAACAATTTTCACTTGAAACAAAATTGAGGCAATGACAAGGACAGAGTATTAGTATTAAATAATTACTGTTAACTTTAACATGTGAGATTATGGCATCAGTTTACAGAAAGTGTCTTTTTTTTTCTTTTCTGAGATGAATACTGAAATACGTACAGGCAAAATGTGACTGAACTTGCATCAAAATATTTCTGCAACAACAAAAAAGGAGTAAACTTTTTAGGCATGACAAATCTTGATACTGTTGATATAGATGAAGGGTATAAAGAAATTCATTGTACTATTTTATATATGCCTCTTCTAGTTGCTGCTCAATTTCCTTATCCCTCAAAATTCCTTGAATGAGTTTTACAGATACTCTCTTTCTACTTCCTCATCACCCAATCTTGAATATACTCCAATATGGCTTTTTTTTCCCCCTTGAATTTAGTAGATTCTACAACTCTACTGAAAGCATTCATCACGGCTGTACCTGGATAAATCTAATCTTCAAGTCTTCATGTTGTTTGCCCCATCAGCAGCATTTTATGCTGTCAATAGGTGACCATTCTGTTCTAAAAACACTTCACTTGGCTTTCAGAATGCCACATGCTCCTGGCCCATGGTTTTTACTCAGTTCATTAACTCATTTGATAAAAATGTATTCAGTCCCTACTAAATAAGTATCATATTAGAAGCTGAAGAGACAGCAATGACCAAACAGGAAAAACAAACAAACCAACCCTGCCTTCGTGGAGCTCATATTCTAGTTCATGTGGACAGACACTATACATAAGAGAAATAACACACAGAGAAAGAATATTAAAAGAAAATAACAGTTATGAAAAACATTGGGAGACAATGACAGGCTCAGCAGAGACAAAAACAACAGTATGAAAGGGACTTTGTCATGTTTACTACTGTATCTCCAGTGCCTAGAACAGTGCCTGGCACACTACAGATACTCAACAAGTATTTTGTTTTGTTTTGTTTTTTTAAATAAACAACTTACTGAGTCTAAAATTTCTC